AATCCGAATTACAATGTACGCGGTTTATAATTATTACGCTAGATCATGATGACGTGTCGTTCTGGTTCCGCGTTCGATACGGCTGATGACGTGCCCTCCCCCCCAACGTTGATGACTACCTTGACAAATCTGCTTTTAGTACTCAATGCATAAACGACATCTTCTCATGGCCGGTACGAATCAAGTGGATGAAACGAATAGTTCCGATTGCTGAAAATAAAACAAATACCTCATATAAATCAAGCATGGCATGATCGTAGCCACGAAAAAGGAAGGCATCTTGTTTGTTTTCTCCACTTAGCAGCGCATACCCGAAAAAGCCAAAAGTAATCGCTACGATGAGAAACATGGAAAGCTGATCGTAAAACGAACACCAATACTTTTTCATGAGTTCATTCTTCGAGTTTGAATCTGCACCATGCATCGTATTAATGAGAGAGAGAGAGAGAGAGAGAGAGAGAGAGAGAGAGAGAGAGAGAGAGAGAGAGAGAGAGAGAGAGAGAGAGAGAGAGAGAGAGAGAGAGAGAGAGAGAGAGAGAGAGAGAGAGAGAGAGAGAGAGAGAGAGAGAGAGAGAGAGAGAGACGCCGTTAATCAGCTTACCGACCACGATGGAGGGGTTTTGGTGGTGGTGGTGCCTATGTAGGATTCGCCATGCAGCTTGTCCGTTTACAAAAACAAAACCAAATTAATAGAAAATACTAATTAAATAGAAGAACATAAATCATAATATATATACACACATGTACATACATATGTATATCTCTTTTGGTATCTTGTGATTAATTTGTCATCAAATCGAATTTATGGTTATTATTCAATTCTTACAACAGAAAGGAAGGGAACTTATAAAGTTGTGCAAGATATCAATTGTAGACAATAAATTTCGACATGCAGGTGAATCTTATTATATATATTTAATTTTTAATTTGGATGAATCTGTATGATGGAAATATTATTATTTATATATTCAACCTATCTAAGTTGGTCGATAATGGTTTTCAATTTTTAATTAAGTTGGTCGGTTGGATTTGATTGGTTTATTTAATGGTCGGTAATCAACCAACTCAACCTACGGAACAACCCTAAAACTCATCTAAAAAATGTTATAAGCAAGAGACATCAATATAAACATACACCATCTTTCACAATTTAATATTACAACACATGACTCACTCTACCATTCTCCACCCTCCAACCACCACCACGACCACCAACGCCGCTGCCGCCATTTTCGTTTCCCAAAAAAAAAAAAAAGTGAAAAGAAAAAAAAAAATCAGCAAATATACACAAACTCATCTCTGCAAGACTGTACTCCCACAAAAAATTCAACCCTAAAAACCAACCCATTTCACCCATCTGAAAATTTTGCCAACTCTAAACGGCAACTCATAGTCTTTCGACACAGCAGGTTCTCTTCTAGCAGCCTCAGCTTCGGACCAGGTATATACGCCTCGTTCCTGTCTACTCCCAGGCACCGTATTATCCAGGACGACAGCCACTAAGAATGCAATCACCATATTAAGCGAAAGCAGTGTATTCAGAACGTAATTCAGCTGCCACGTCAGATGAAATAACATAATAATCAGAAACAACTAATTTAAATGCTAGCCCATTAAAAGAAAGTCGAGAAGATTCTGTAAAATTACCCCGTCAGATTTTGTCTGAATTGGACCGTGAGAAGCCACGGCGTAGGGCTGGTAATAACTTGGTACGGACATGTTCGAGTTTGGAGAGATGCCATACTGCTGAAAGTAGGCGGGTACTGATAGGGAGAAGAATAAAGACAGGCCCACGATTATAATGTTCCTCGAACTACCTGCCTCGCTGTACCTTAGATTCGATAACCCTAATGCAGTAAGCATTGCCCACATGAAGCACAAGAGAGCTGCAACCATTACTTCGGGTATCGATGCAATAATTCCCCCAACTTTACCTGGGAAATAAAATCTTGAATTTAGAGAAAGGGAAAAAATTCATATTTGGTGATGATGTTAGAATTGGATATACCTATGAGAGATAAGACAATCATTGCACAAGCACCGAATTCAACTGCTCTTCGACTTCCCATTTTAGTGACTGCAATGGTGTGTACATTTTCAGTCAAAGTTGTTGACCCTGTTCCGGTTCCCCATATAGCAGCTAGAATGCTGGAAAGACCTTCGAGGCCGATTCCTCGACTCAAGACACCTGGTGTTGGAGGTCTCGATGCCACCAACAATGCCGTTGCGTGATATGAACCGACCTAGAGATTTAAGTGGGCCCCGAGGAGGGATCAGTCTTCTGATAATAATTCAAAACCAATAGCGATATAAAACAAGAGAAAGCAAGTGCGGACTCACGGAATCAACTGACGAGATAATAGACACCACACACATTACAAGGGCCATCTTCCAATGAAAGACAGGTGTGCCCCATTGCAACGGGTAAGGAAATCTAAACCATGGTGAAGATCTGAATGCATGAGAAGTATCGACTCGACAATTCTTCATCCTTGAAACATGTCTTCTGCAGTGGTCCGATATTATATTCGCGGCCGGTATATTCGGATCACAGCCTTTGTAGCTGTATACTCCAGATTCAGTGAGAAGGAAGGCTGCAGCCCATGTAATAAACAGACCAAGAGGAACCTAGGTTTTTAGAAAGCAGAAATTGGATTAATGTCTGAGAAATACATTTGTCATAAAAAGAATCAGGATACGTAACGCAAACGACATCAGCTTACCGCATAAATTAGGAAGACTCGGTGACCCAATACAGATACTTTACGGAGGTACTGCAAAAGAAGTAACATGTCAATTAAAGCTGCTGTATCGGAAATTTACTATTGCATTATTATAATGTAAAAGAGAGAACAAAAGTTTAATACAGGTAATCAAGAATCAGTTGTCAAACTTACAAGGGAAAAGATAATAACTAATAATATCTGCAGCACACCGATTTCAATACAGGAGCCGACTCGCGGGAAGCCATAGCTGTAGAAAGAAAGCCCGATTGCCGCAATGGTAGGGGACACCACAACTGGATTTATTAACCTGAAAAGGAGTGGAACAAACAAATGAATTATCGGTATGTTTTTATTTATTTCCATTATAAAGAAGATTCTATTTTCCAATAGGTCAGAAACCGAATATTTGGGCATACGAGGAACGGGAAAGCATTTAATAGACGTCTTACTTATATGAACCAACATAAGATAGATATTACTATCAGTACACATCTTATGCAAATCTCAATCAATGTTAATTGACCAAATAAGATCAATTGGATCCTAACAATACTTGCCATATTTTTTAACTGAACTATTCGTATTTTTGAACTGATAATTTAGGTGTTAATTTTTTTTAATGATGATACAAAATGCATTTAATAGTAGTTGGTTTGCTTGTGATATCTAAACTCTTTTTCTTCTTATAGGTATCGTACATCTAACGAGAGTCAATGATTATGACTAATCAATGTCAAGCGAATATTGTTAGGATCCTATTTTGTTAATTGGCATTTATTGGGATTTGCACAAGACAGATTTAGGAGGGTTTTCGACGTGACAAAGCTCCGGCACCATAACGCCTATTAATGACACAAATAGCAATCCACATGTATACTTAGAACTTAGAGAGAGTCTTTATTTGTCAGTAAATACTAATAATGCACATGTAATCTGAATAAGTGAACACTTTGTTTGCAGATCACGTTGCACGTACTATACAATTGTGAAGCAAGTCAAAACCCTATGTCAATCAGTTGCCCTTTGCTTTTCATTGCAACGATTGTCTATTCCAAAAATTCACTATCTTTATTGAACTATTTTTATTCAGTAAAAGCCCACTACAGCGTATATTTCAACCCTACTCGCAGAATCAAGCTAAAAAATTTTGTTGGTTCTAAGTAATTTTTTTGGTACCATATATCGAGTCCCAGTTTTGAACGAAGATAATCCTTCTAAGCGAAATTTGAAATCAGATTTACTTACCGGACTAGAAGAAATTCCAAGCGAACAAATAAATGGTGGCATGCGAGTTAAGATATAAAATATTGTATAATTATATGATGAAATAAACTCATACCTTAGTAATATTTTCATCAAACCACTGTATCCCAAGAAGGCCTGAAAAGCTGAACCAATAATTATAGCCCCTTGTAGCTCTTTCATTATGTGCTTGAAATTCTGCCATTTGGAAAACGTAAGTAAAAAGCACACAATACCAGATAGTAAAAAAACAAACAATTATACTTGCAGGACATTTGGCACTAAAAAAAATGCCGCAGTCGCATTTGCAAAATAATTCAATATACGGTCTTTCACTAGTCAACGTCTCAGTACTTGATTTTATAGATAAAACAAATGACGCCATAATAATACTTGGTCCGTGATTATACCGAAATGAAACTGGCATAACATATTTCTTTCAGTTTCATCCCCAAGCACACTGCTTGAATGAGAAAATGCAATCTAGCCTATATATAGTTGAGTTCAGTGTCTCACTACTGGATCATGACTTAACATACTTCGGTATGGGATTGATTACCCCTTTGGTACGAATAAAATTCGGCGTCGTATCACTAGCAGAACAAAAAATATAAGATTTACAAAAAGCTAAGATTATCTTTATACCCTTCTTTTGTATACAGTATTAACAGAAATGGAAGAAAATGCATTTGGAACCTAGCCGATGCACCCCATTAGATTACCTACTTAGATGAGTTAGGCAAACAGAGCCCATAGATGTATCAAAAGCTCTTAGTTATGGAATTTACGATAAAGTATCTCTTTTCCACATAACAGATGAAAAGAAGAATATAAAGAAAAATGCCTGAGAAAACAGCAACCAAACATTTACATACATTTCCGTTAAGCCCCAAAAATTCTGGAGAGTTGATAATTGCAAGTACAGGAGCAAGATAAACAAAGGAAGGACCCTGTATCAAGGGTAATCTTGACCCAAACGATATATGCAAAAGCGTCGTCATTCCCGAAGTGAATAGCACAGTGGAAACAACGTTTGCTGTATCTTCCTATAAAAACGGCTACAATTAGTTCAACTTTTCTAAAAACATGTATATATTCAACACAAGAAGAGAAATATTTTTTTCCGAAATTAAATGTTGAAACGAATTACGAGTGCTCACATAGGTGCCACCCATTGCCGGAACTATCACGAGCGGGATTAGTATCAACGAACCCAAGATAGAAAGAAAATGTTGAAATCCGTAGAGACCGATGGGAACTGAAATATAAAACAAAGATCACTGTTACATAATCATCAATAATGCTGAAGATATAGAAACAAATGGTATGCATTAAAGCATCGATCTCAAATTCGACGATTCCAACTTTTTAACTCCAGATTGCAACCGTTCCTCCATCATTACATAACCGATAAAAAGCGATTAAAGGGCTCATTATCTTGACTTTAATAATGCAACAACAGAATCTTGAATATTCCAACACTTAAATAAGTAATTAAACGAAAATGTAAAAAAGCTAACCAAGGCCAGGGCTATCTCTAAGCTCGTATTTCATGTGCGAATTCCTCGAAATAAACCCATCGTCGTCCAGCGACTGCGGCAGCACATCCACCGTGGCAGCTCCGTCATTCCTCGCTCTTCGACTACCCTCCCCAGCCGTGGGCAGCCCGTTCGCCCCCAAATTCTTCCCGCCGTCTGATTCCCTCCGTTTCCTCACAGGCGGCGTAAGCTCCTTATCCTTCTCTTTCGCCCTATCCCTCGCAACTACAGCCTCTCCGTTGGAAGTGGGGCCCTGCCTCGGGGCAACCGGCCCAGCTTCAAGGTCCAGGTTACTATCCGGTTGCTTGGGCTTCGCCTGAGCCTGTTCCTGGACCGGAGGTTGAGCCGGGGGAAGGGGCAAAGTGGTAATTTGACCGGAGTCACTGGCATTAGTCTCGCCGGAGAATTTAGGGCGGAAACCAGTGCGCTTAGCCCAGGAGGAAGGCGGCATTGCGGCGGAATCGGGTGCGGGTGGCCATGGTCCGGGTCGGGGCTTCTTGCTAGGGTCGGAGCTCGCCATTTATGTAGCTGCTACTACCACAACTAGAAATGCATAGCTACAGGGAAGATTGAGAGTGTAGAACAAGCATAGAACAGAGGAATTAAGAACTCAGAAATCGAATGCGGAAGCAGATCTGAAGTTGGTGTTAGGGTTTTAGAGTTAAAACGATGGATAGAGATTAGAGAGAGAAAGAGGAGAGAGAGAGAGTGTGTGTTTTGGTGGGTGCGGAAAAGAAAGAAAAAAATCTAATAGGCTTTAGTGTGTACTGTGTGGGAGTGAGTGAGAGAGATAGTAACGAAAGGCTGAGTTAGTATGTGTTTTTGTGTGTGAGAGAGAAAGTGAGAGAGGAATCGGAGTTAAATACGTCCGGCACCCGCGTTTAACTTTTCTGTCTATATATTTATTGTAATTTAAATTTATATTCGTATTTAGTATCGAATCTTTTATTTTACTTCACCAATATATATTTATAATCTTTTTTGCAAATTTACTTGAAGACCCCTGAAATTTGAAGACATGCTTCGGTAAGTATCATTTTGATTTTTAATTATTTTCTTCTTTTGTTGAGAAATTTAAAATTCGTAAATATTATTCTAATTGCGTTGTTTATTAATAGTAAATGACTGTTGGGAAGTTTTATATGCATGCACGTGGGATTATTAATTATTATCCTAAATCCTAATCCACAATCTATAATACACGTTACTCATGTTTTATTCAATGGGCCTCCAACACGCTTAATTATGCTAGTTAATAAATGGGCTTACTGTAGTAAATTAGTAATTTAAAGAAAAACATATATATATAAAAAAAATCCATAGTGATCCAAAGTTGGCCAATTATATAATAAAACGATATCAGTATAAGTCAATTTTTTAGAGGTGAAAATAATTTCAATTCCGTCCAAAAAATATTCGGAAAAAATGAAAATCAAAATTTTGGAAATTGAAATTAACATATATGTTCAAGAATCAGAAAATTGCGGATCAGGCGGAAATTAAATATTTTATTTTGTTTTCATATATAATATAAAATATATAATAATTTTAATATAATAAATGTATTTTTTTAACCAAATTCGAACGTTCAAAAATATTTTTGAGAATTAGAATCAAATAAAAATTAAAATCTAATATATATTACAATTTCGATCAAAAAATTTAGAAATTGGAATTTTCAAAATTCAGAGTAGAAAATAGTATAATAAAAATCCGATTTTTTGGACCATGACTGAAGTAAATAAAAAATTTCGTTCCGATTTTCACCTCGAGAAGCAATCATTTTTCTTTATGATTCTAAACGTGAACTAGCCCAATACTTATTTGGATCAGGCCCACCTTGAGAATTGCAGCTTATCCGTATACTGTGGACCCCATCCAGGATTAACTGAACGTTAAACCACATAAAATAAATTAAAATAAAAAAATGTAATTTTAGCGCCAAAAATAAAGAGAAAAATCTCAGCCAATAAGAAAACAATTTCTCAGCAGCATGTTCTCCACTGCCCTAACACTCCACCTCTTTCCCCTCCACAGAACCACCGAATTCTCCCCCCACCACCACCACCACCGGAGCAGCCGCTACAGGCGTCCACACGGAAAGCCTCTGAGGATTAATGTGGCGAAATTATCTTCGAGCGTGAAAGAAGAAATCGAGAAACCTCCACCGGTGTCATCGGAGGGTTCCGATGAGGGGAATGAGGTGTTGACGAGCTGGGAGAGCATAGGTCTGCCGCCGGTGACGGCGGCGAAGAGGGTGGTTCTAGTGAGGCACGGTCAGAGCACGTGGAATGCGGAGGGACGGATCCAAGGCAGCTCCAATTTCTCGGTGCTCACTCAGAAAGGGGAATCTCAGGCCGAGATCTCGCGTCAAATGCTTCTGGAAGATTCCTTCGATATCTGCTTCTCCAGGTCTGTTTACACTCAGTTTATTTAATTGATTTTTTGTTTAGTTTTCCGAAGAGACGATGCAGAAATTATTGAACTTAATTGTGGCAATTAGGGTTTATTTAGTTTGAAATCATAATGGATATGGAAATTTTGCTTTAATCGATGGTAAAACAAAAATTGAAATCAATTTAGCTGAATTTTTTATTTTCAATTTGAAGTACACAAATGTTTAATTTATGTGTGTTCATAAACGTTGTTTGTCCTGTTCTTGCAAATGTTGCAGCCCGTTGAATAGATCGAAGAGAACTGCAGAGGTTATATGGGGTTCTCGTGCAGAGGAGATCGTAACAGATTACAACTTGAGAGAAATTGATCTCTACTCATTCCAAGTTAGTATCGAATTATTGGTTTAAATTTCGCAAACCGGATTTTATTAACATGTGTATGTAAAATCCACTTTATTGCTCTTTAATTATATAGGGTTTTCTCAAGAACGAAGGAAAGGCCAAATACGGTGAGGCTTATCTTCAATGGCAAATGGATGCACCAAATTTCAATATAGACGGTCATTATCCAGTTAGGGAATTGTGGTCGAGAGCTAGAAGTTGCTGGAAGAAAATCCTTACACACGAAAGCAGATCGATTCTTGTGGTTGCTCATAATGCCGTCAATCAGGCTCTTATTGCCACAGCTATCGGTATTGTGTGTGTGTGTGTGTATTAATTATTGCTTCGATTCTTGAAATTGAATGTTGATGTTTATTATCATTTCAACAAAATTGATTCGAATCTATTTTTTTGGTCTGTCACGTGTAGGATTGGGCACTGAGTATTTTAGGGTTCTACTTCAGAGCAATTGTGGTGTTAGTGTTTTGGATTTCATCCCAAAATCTGAAGGCGGGTCTCCAGAAATATGCGTTAATCGTCTTAACCAGGTATGCAGTCTACTTATGCACGACCGTGCTAAAAAGATTTATTGAAAAAAAAAAACACAGCAGAAAGAAGCATATTTTCATATGTTCTACGTTTTTGTAGGTTATTTGAAGTTCTTGGTGTGATATTA